CCCCAAAACCCCAAAACCCCAAAACCCCAAAACCCCAACTTCTTCATTGGTAATTGAAATATTTGAAAATAAGCTAAACAGGCATTCTTAAGAACTTAACTGGAGGATTTATTCATAATCTGGGGACTTAGGTATCTTCCAACCACTTCTCTTTCTTGCTTCTTTGTAGTCGGAACTTGGATAACAGCAGAGGGCTTAGAGTAATCGTACTTTTTATACTCGGGCTTGGTAGATTTGTAAGAGGAATAGCTAGGTTTTGCACAATATCTTCTATAATTCTTGCTTTTATATGAATTCTGGCCATTTAAGGTGTGCAAATGACTTCCACCAATGCCTGATGAAGTAGATTTACCGTTATATGAAGAAGTAATAGCCGTTGGGTATACACTCGAATATCCTTTTGACTCTACCGAGTTGTATCTCGGCACCCTAGGCTGAGGAATTGAAGGAGGGATTGAAGGTTTCTGGATACTCTTAGGCTTGGCAGTTTCATATGTCTCCCGACTATCAGTTGTAGTTGTTTCCTTAGATTTAATTTCATTTGCTCTCTTCTCATTTTTAAGTTTGTCTCTTTCTGATTTCACTTCATAATGAGTGGTTTTAAGATTGTCATAGTCCATCCTTATCTTTAGAACGGTTTCTCTTTCCTTCTTTTCAGCAGCGGTATACTTCTCTGTCATCTCATCTAATTGCTTTTCAGTTGTTGCTAATTTTTCTTTGAGAGTTTCTATAGTTTTCTTATACTCCTCTTCTTTTTGGGCATATTTATTTTTCTGTTCTTCATGAGTGTTTTTCATCTGTTCAATCTTTGCTTTCATCTCTTTATGCTTGTGTTGTCACTCCTGACTATCAAATTTAAGAGTTCTATGGGAAGACTTCAAGTCATAATACTCTTGTTGGATTGTCTTGAGCAAAGAGTCACTTTTCATTAGAAGTCTTGCTAAAGTATCGACTTCCGTTGTTCTTTCATCAAGTTGTTGCTTCAAAGTGTTTGCTTTCTTTTTCTCAAGTTTTGCTTCCCTCTTGGTTCTCTGAATGATCTTGTTGTTTAGGAAGAGGCTACTCTTGTTCACTCTTTCAAGTAAGGGTCCGAAAAAGCTGATTGATTGGGTTTTGTAAAGACCTTTTGGTAAGAACACTTCCGACTAGGAAATTAGAAAAGAAAATTTACTTTTGAATATTTCTTCATAGTCTTTGATTTAGAAGAGGCTTTTTTGGATCCACTTCTTTTGGACATCTTTGTGAGGGATTTAGAGTTAGATCTACGAATTGATTTCTTCTTCTTTTTACTCTTTTTGATATTTTTGGTATCAAAAATGATTTTATTTCTCCCAAATATGGCTTCTGATTGAGTTCCTGCTAGCTTATTCCCCAAGTTATTTCAACATTCTTCATCTGGATTAATCCCTGTAAACGGAACTATAGCTGTGGAGGCTTTGTTGCTCTGAAATTTAGAACATGGAATGATCATTGCCTCAATTTCAGCAGCTTTAGAGTTATTCCTGCTGCATTCAGAGAAGGGTTTATTCTGTTTATGGGTCATAATATTTACCGTTTGCATTTATCCTAAAATTTCAAATATTATTAGGCCATTCGGGGTTTTGGGGTTTTGGGGTTTTGGGGTTTTGGGG